ATTTGAGAGATCCAATAGAGATGAGTGGAGAAAAGTTGGGAATTGTTTGGCGAGACGGAACGGTACATAAGAAGGAGGGGTCGAGAATGTCTCCAGAACTCTAGACTGACTCCAAGTGGAAAATAGTGCTACAGGAGAAGCAGACTCAAGATCTGGGAACAAAGAGTTCAGCTGTAAAGGCTATGTGAAATCTAAAAAGTAAGAAAAATAAGAGGAGGGAAGCTTCCACTGATTTGGGAGGTCCCTCATTCCATTCAATGGACAAAATGTTGGTGACCATCCATGTGGCGCTGGTGTGAGAGGTAAGAAGAGTTGTAGGGGGATGACTGAGTATAGATGCCAGATGGTGAGGACAGGATAAGTTGTTGGCAAGTAAGGAAACAATGTGGCTCTCGAGAAACTCCAGGCTGATAGCAACTTCCAGCCACAAATAACAAGACAAGAGACTCTGGAGTAAAGGAAATCTGCACCCAGTGATAATAACGCAAAGTGATATTCAGGACTCGATTTGGAAACAGAAAAAGCATTAGTAGAAGAATTGCTGGATTTGAATAAAGTATACAGTTTATTGATCGTGATGTACAATGTTAATTTCTTAGTTCTGACAAATATATAAGATATTGAGGTTAGCAGAAACTCGATGAGGGGCATACAGGACTGTCTGTACTACCTTCACAACTTTTCTCAAATCTAAAATTATTCCAAAATGAAAAGTTTACTTAAAAAAAGGGAAGAAATCCCGAAACAGACATTCTAACAGCACTCTCCACTGCACAAACTGAAGCTTTTAATGTTCAGAAGTTTCCAAATTTATTTTTCAATCTTGACCTGATAACCTGACTGTACCATGATTACCTACCTACTGAATTGTAAAACAAACAAACAAAAAAACTTAGAAAATATAGAAAGAATTCTTTTACTTCACAACTTGGAGATAATAATTGTTAACATCTTTCTTACTATGCTATAGATGTGATTTTTTTCAACCATCACTGAGATTACTCTCCTGAGCTTTCTGTCTTCTCCCTTAATATGTTATCATAAGCTTTCCCTGCCATGTAATTCTTTTTTTAAAAAAGCACTTAAGATGCCTGGGTGGCTCAGCAGTTGAATGTCTGCCTTTGGCTCAGGTCATGATCCCGGGATCCTGGGATTGAGTCCCACATCAGGCTCCCTGCATGGAGCCTGCTTTTCCCTCTGCCTGTGTCTCTACCTCTCTCTGTGTGTCTCTCATAAATAAATAATAAATAATCTTTTTTTAAAAAAAAAAAAAAGCACTTAAATGACACACAATTGCCCACATACAGTAGACTTGAAAAATCTATTCCAAATTCAATGGACATTTACATTATTTCCAACTTTTCCCCATTTATAATTAGTACCACAATGAATATCTTATGCATAAATTCCATGCAGATGACTTATTTCATTGGGAGAAATTCCAGAAGTTCCTGAGTTGAAGGAAATGTTCATTTAAATTTCTGATAAATGCCATTAATATGTCCCCCAAAACAATGGAACAACTGGTACTCCCAACAGCTGTGTACAGACAGCCAGCTCCCCCAACCCCAATGGTATCAGTCTGTTTTTAACTACTGTTAATTGGGAGGCTAAAAAAATGTTCATTATTACATTTAAATGTGTATTTCTTTGCTTCCTAGTAAGACTAAATGTATTCAACACATTTATGTTTTAGCTACCTTCATTCACTCTTCAATGAATTGCCTGTTCACATTTTGTCTGCTTCTGCACTGAGATTTTAGTGTATCTTACTTAGTATTTTCTAAATCCATTGTGTTTATGGACCTTCTGTCAGTAGTTGTGGTAAATATTTGCTAGTTTATTATTTCCATTTTAATTTTATTATGATGTTCTTTGATGTATAAAGCTTAATTTGGAGGTGTATACATCTTATTTTCCTTTATAATTTCTTCTACTCTTTTGGTGTTTATAAAGACCTCACTGCCCCAACACTCAACCAAATATTAGCATTAGTTAAAAACATTTAAAATTTAGAAGGGGAAAAGCCAGATCACTTGTCTAACTGAAGAAATGAGCTGTTTTTATACTGGAGACTTCAAATGTAGAGGTCTGGGATTATGTAGTGATTGATAATACTAATTGGATACCTTCAGTCATAAATCACTATTAACAAATAATACTTACTAAAACAAACCTTTTCTTAGGAGTATCCAAGACAACTGTTAAATTTTTTGAATCACCAGGAATAATATAGCTCAGAGAGTGTCCAAAAGAACCAAACAAAATTAACTTTGGGTCATGATTATGTCAGGAAAAATCTAGTTCAGCTATATTACACAGCCATATTACACAGCTATAATAGCACCTTACTTAGTAGCTCTTACTCTTCACATCACATTTCTAAGCAAGATTCATTTTCTCTAATTTTGTCTTAATAGCTATGAAGAAGGGATAATGTTAAATAACAGGTAAAGTAGAAAGGGCACAGGCTTTAGAACTTGCTAGATGTAGGTTCAAATCCCGGATCCACCATTCACGAATTGTTTTCCCTAAAACAGTCAAAAGGCCTCTCAAAGCTTCATCATCTGTAACACAGGAGTCACTACTAGTGGCACAGATTGCACATTCAATAAATTATTTTGTAATTATTTTCAAAGAAATGCCTTCCTTGTTATAAAATCAGGACTAAGAATCAAGTGTTTACTTTTCAATACAATTTTGTGTTCACATATAAAGACATATGTGTACCATTATTTAAAGCAAAGTAATCTTTGTTATTATTTTTAAGACATTAGTAAGTGACTAATTCTTTTTTGTTTCACAAGCAGCCTCCAGAAAAATATTAAACAATTCCCAGAAATTATAAGAAGAAAATCCCCACTGTAATATTACACCAATAGACAATTTAGGGAATAGTTTCCTTCATCCCACTAAAAGCAGTACCTGAAAATTCTCTCAAAATTCTCTCTCATTCAATTTCCATTTCAACTATAAGTTTGTTGCATCTGTAGACACAAACCAAATCCCAACCTTCTTCTAAGCCCGTAGCTATGTTCAACAGTTGGGGCAAAAAAAACCAACCACCTCAGATTTGGGAAGAATAAACCACAGGTGACACTTTCGAGAATGGACTGCTGCCATAAAAATGAGTCTGACAGTGGAAGAACAATGGCAAAAAGTCACTTTCTATTAAAACTGAAAAAAACTATTTACAATAAACATATATTTGGCTATAATGGAATTATGAATACAAAATTACTAAAACATCTTAGTTTTGAGGCTGAACATTCTTTAAATTGTTGGCCTAACTGCATCTTCTTTTTCTACAATGAATATTTCAAACATAGAATAAGAGAACCTAAAACAATTTGCATTAGTATGAAAATGTAGCTACAGAGGAGAACAACAACTTAATAAATCACAATCTCTCTCTCATAAGAAAAAAATAATGTTTAAAAAAACTCTGCTATTAAGGCCAGGTACAGTCCAAATTTATTTCTAGAATTCCAGTGTTGCATAACTAAAGCATTTCAATGGAGCTGAACATCAAGTTACATAATTACCAAATTACTGCATTCTATTTTGCTTTTTCAGCAAAGAACATGATGGGACTGGCTGACAGCAAGAGAAGAAAAGAATTTAAAGCAGCATATTTTGCTTATAACAGAAAACAACTTTTATTTTAAAAGACTTTAGATGAAAGATCACAAATTTTCAATATTCTGTTCCCAAATTAAGCAATATAAAATGATCATTAGAAACCTCAATTTTTGCTTGCCATTTTGTCAAGGTATTTTTAGTTGTTTCCATTGTTTATTTTTTAAAAAAGCTCGCCCAACAAATATTTAACATAGTTTTCAAGATCATTAGAAGAGATTTATCAAATTTATATGCTTCCTTCCATGGAGAGGAGCACAAATGTGGGCCATTCAACTACATTTTACAGAAAATTTAATAACAGTCATCTGCTTGTATAGCAACAATCACAAAATAATGTAATATATATTCTAGGGAAGTACCATCTCCATTTGTTGATTTAAATTTAAAACATCAGAGGGGCGCCTGGGTGGCTCAGTTAAGCATCTGACTAGATTTCAGTTCAACTCATGATCTCAGGGTCATGAGATCGAGCCCCTCACTGGGCTCTTGCACTGGGCAGGAGTCTGCTTAAGATTCTCTCTCTCCCTCTGCCCTTCCCCCGCTTGCTCTCTCTCTTAAAAAAAATAAATAATTACAAATAAGTAAACAAATAAATTTAAAATGTCGGAGAATTCACGGAATATTAAAAAGCTGTTATCTAAAACCTGCTGATTTATTAATAGCCAAAATGAGGGATATTTATTTTAGAGCAAATGTACAATCTCCACTAAAACATAACTTCAATGGAAGAGGACAAATGCAATCATTAAAAGATTAAACTACTCTGGGAACAGCTCAAGCAAAGAATTATAATAAACTAAGTAGCCTCTCTTATTGTTTATTCTCAGGGAAGGTTTATAAATCAGAAGCTGTTTTACTTAAAGCATTTTTAAAAGGCAAAAAAAGATCAGAGCTTCAGATTTTTTCTTGATGTATATATTTGGAAATCTTAAATGACTAATAAAGTCTACAGAAGAGTCAATAAATAAATTTATTGGCAGTGTCAATGAATGATACTATGATTATAGACTTAAATTAATAAACCTAGTGGCGCCTGGTTGGCTCAGACGGTTAAGCATCTGCCATAGGCTCAAGTCATGATCCTGGGGTTTTGGGATCCAGCCCTGTGTCAGGCTCCCTGCTCAGCGGGGAGTCTGCTTGTCTCTCTCCCTCTCCCCCTCCCCCTGCTCATGCTCTCTCTTACTCCCTCTCTCTCTCATGAATAAGTAAAAATCTTTTAAAAAATTAATAAACCAAAAAAAATTAATAAACCTAAAACAACAAAACAATAAACCTAAAACAACAAAAGCTATCTAATAGAAACTTCATTTAAAAGTTATTCATTGAGGACCAAAACTATAAAAGATGGTGATGATTACCGTGACTCAATGGGGTTGCATCATCCCTGGGCTTCTTTTCTTCTTCAGCTTGCTCCTAGAACGCATAAAATATGGTTTAGACTGTATTTTTGGATAACTGTCTGACACACTGGAAACTAACTTTTCTGTGTGCAGGAAGCCAAGCCATGAAAAGCACCATAAAGACAGGGACAATTCATCAGTAGCCAGCACCATCAAGTGGGTGTGCAAACCCCAGGAGGCATGCCATGATCCATGGGAGTAATCCTTTATTACTGTCTTAATTCTTTGTTGGCTAAAATCCAAAAAGAATAAGAGCAATAACAGTTAATGCTGAAGTTGATAAGGGTGTCTCCCTACTGCCTGGGTGTGACAGTCACACCAGAGGCAGGCATGGAAGAGGCAAGTCCACACCAAAGCCAAGGTCTCCACCATACCTTTTCCTTCAGCCTACTGGCATCTAGAATAGTTTATTAGGGCTCAGTTAAGATTATGTTGTCTAATTTTAGAGGTGCCTGAGTGGCTCAGACAGTTAAGAGTCTGCCATTGGCTCAGGTCATGATCCTGGGGTCCTGGGATGGAGCTCCACATTGGGCTCCTCGCTCAGCAGGGAGTCTGCTTCTCCCTCTTCCTCTGCCCCTCACCCCTGCTTGTACTCTCTCTCTTCCACTCTTGTACTCTCTCTCTCTCTTCTACTCTGCTCTCTCTCTCCCTAAGTAAATAAAATCATAAAAAAAAACTACATTCCCTAATTTTACCCAAACTGACCTGCAGAGAAGAGACAAATGACTTCAAAGATTCCTTCGAAAAAAACAAAGACTGAATACAACCAACAACACAAGTGCCCAATAGGAATAGGGCAGAGGTTCCCTCCACAGAGCAGGTAATTCAGCAGACACACTCTCGTGGCAACTCTGGAGGGAAGGCTGACCACCTAACAAAGACTAAGGTGACAACTGCTTTTTGTAAAAGATAAAGAAGAAAAAAGCATTTGTTAATGGGTGTCCAGAAATGTGTTTCATTTACATAATTTTGTGGCCATAGACAATGTATGCCCCCTACACAAATTCACAATTGTACACTTAAAAATTGGGGAACAGTTTCCCAATTCTAACATACTCCAAATGAAGCCTCTCAGTAGGCTTTGAAGTTTCTTCTGGAAATATGCAACACTGATTGCATTTGATTGGTTCCCAAGAAAAACAGGGAAGATGAAAATTCAGTAGCTGAAATACATAAAAACCTTCACATAATTGATGGGGGATGCTGAGAAATGAGTGTTATGACTTAGTAGGTTTGGCAAATAATCACTTCTTCAAGTTAGCTCTATATCTCTTTGGGATATATCTTTTTAAGCTATGCCAAGGGGGATTGCCCCTGTTTTCTCAGGACTAACACAATCACAGCACTGAAGTCTCATCTGTGGGGAACTCCTAGGCTCTAGACAAGCCAGGATAGTCAGTCATCCTGGCTGTGACAACCATTACAATCAAACCTAAAAAAGCAGACTGCAGATAATGGCAACACAAAGCTTTGAATCAAGCTTTCAAAAAAGAATCATGCATATTAATATTTTAATTATAGCAAACTTGTTTATAACTGTTAAAATAAATACTGTTAATTTTGTTTTTATATTACACATTTTAGTTTCTTTTTTGGTCTATAGTTTTGAGGTACAAAATACAATTTATATAATAGTAAATCATACAATTTTCAAATAAACAAATAATCCACATATATTGAGATACGTACGTGACTAATGTTTCTTTAATGATGGGGAAGCAAATCAAGCTACCACTTGACAATATGGCCATATACAACTGATTGTGCTGGAATGCCTAACCTTGATATCTTTCTATATACATAATTTGTTTTTTTTGAATTCATATTGTTCAAGGCAAAAAATAAACATAGAATGAAGTAGTACAGTGAAAACTTTCCCACCCATCTTCCTCCATCTAGCCAATTCACAGTACCTCCACCCAGTAATCACTGTTATTAGACTCTAATACATCCTTGCAAAGTTTTTTTTTATGAAAATACAAAGAAACATGAATATAAACTCTTATTTTCCTGCTCTTACGCACAAAGGTAGCATATTATAATACTGTTTTCTATCTCTTTTTTCATTTAACAAAATACCTCAGAGATATTTTTCAGGTTATGAAGACCATTCTCCATCTTTCTTCACAGCTGCACAGTATTATACTTAATGGATATTTCATGATTTACCTAACTGGTTCCATATTTATGGATGTTTAGGTTGTTTCTAATCTTTTTTCCCTGTCATATAATGCTAGAGTGAAAAATTATCACATATATCATTTTGCATATGTGCAAGGGTATCTATGGAATGACTTCTCTTCTCAGAAGCGAAGCTGACAGGGAATACCTGGGTGGCTCAGTTAGTTCAGCATCAGACTCTTGGTTTCAACTCAGGTCATGAACCTGATTAGGGTCAAGAAATCAAGCCCCAAGTTGGGCTCCACACTCAGCATGGAGTCTGTTTGAGATTCTCCCTCTGCCCCTCTCCCTGCTCATGCTTGCCTATTCTCTCTTTCAAACAAATAAGTAAATCTTGTGGCGAGGGGGGAGAAGTGAAACTGCTGGTTAACAGAGACTCATGTTTTCCTGCTGCTAATCCTCACATGAGGTGACCCATTCAACAGCCCCATAAGCCATGGATCAGGGCCTGTTTTCCTACAGTCTTGTCAACAAGCTATGTTATCAAATTTTGGGGTGTTTGCCAAGATGAATAGTGAAAAATATCTCACTATAGTTTTAATTTGCATGTTCCATTATGAAGAAATTGAAGATTACTTTGTATATTTAAAAGCCACTTGTATTTCCTTTATCTTGTGAAATACTTTTTTTAAGACTTTTAAAAATTTATTCATGAGAGAGACAAAGACACAGGCAGAGGGAGAAGCAGGCTCCTTGTGGGGAGCCTGATGTGGGACTCAATCACAGGACCCCAAGATCACACCCTGAGCTGAAAGCAGACGCTTAACCACTAAGTCACCCAGCCATCCCCTGTGACATATCTTTTTTACATCCTTGGTCCATTTTCTGTTGGAATGATTACTCATCTTTGGGTCTTGATAAATTAGGAAGACTAGTCCTATTGAGATGAATTTCTCTTTTTTTCCCAGTTTGTCATTTGTCTTTTTCACTTATCTTAGGATATTTTTTAAATGGCAGAGAAATTTTTGTTAAGAGAGGATATTATCAAACTTTTCTTTCATTGTTTCTCGATTTGAGTAACAGAAAATCCTTTTCTACTCCCAATTATAAAAACCTCCTATTTTATGTATTACATTTGTGGCTTATTTCCTACATTTGAATCTTTGATAAACACTGAATTTGAGCCAGGCTATATTGTGAAGTAGACATCCCTTCTCTTCCCATGCTAAACTGGGTAATTTACTGAAGGCTGGAAATATAATATACAAATCTATATTATTAGGCTATCACATTGCACTACCATCATCTTTTTATCAGTTTCACCTGCTTTGATGAGCTTACTGAAGGCAGACAGTATCTTAACCATTTTTCATCCCCAAAACATTACCTAACACCTAATCTAGCTCAGAAAATATTTGCTGAATGAAGGCATAAATGCCTACTTGGCAGACTTCACATCCAAGGAAATCACAGATATCCTTATGCAATTAATAAAATGACATCCTGATAAAAACTATAATCCAACTCTTCTAAAAATTTAACATGCAACTGGATCACTTGGTTATTGTGTTAAAATGCAGATCTTGATCCTGTAGGTCTGGGATTGGGCCTGAGGTTACCATTTTCCAACAACCCCCAGCTGAAGGTCTGTGGACTACATCATGAGCCTCACAGGGCCATTTACTAGGCAGGAGATGGAAGTAGAGAAGCCATAACCCAATCTCCATCTACCTGTGTTCTACTGCATGTGAAATGATGAACTGAATCAGTCTAATTTTCTATGGCAGCTCTTTACCCCAATTTCATCCCTTTTTACCCACTCAATACACAGGAAATTTACATAATTCAAAACAATACTAGTATCTTCTCATAAAGGTTCTACTGCAAAAACTGAAACGGTAACAAGAAATAGTATTCAAGAGTTGATTATGTGAGCACAACAGTTCCTGAAGCATTTTTATAATCACTGTATCATTCAAACATAAAAAGAAATACATAATATGCTGTCTATCACTCTGTTAGTAGATTAGGATGTTTGGTTCACACTTCTTTATTTGCTACTGAAATTCTGCCTAGATAGAAGAAACATATTCCTCCCAAAAATAACATTACCTCTCACTTCAGAGTTAAATTACCCACACTCCTTATGTCCATGTTTTTAGACGAATCCAGGTTATATGTAGACATACACCTGGAAGATCACAATTTTGTATTTAAGAATAAATTTATGTTTCTCTTAAGACACACTGATCTCATTTTTGGACAATTTCGCAAATAAAGAGCATTTAATACCATACAATAGAACAAGGAAAAATGCTGAATTCGGGATCAGGTGACCTAAGGCCAAATTCCAACCTCATCCACAAAAGTATGTAACTGTAAACAAATGACATATATTATCTGTACCTAATTTCTCTTGTCTATAAAATAAAGCAATTGGACTAAATGTTCCAAGACTCCTGCTAGCTTTAAAACTCTTTGCTTCTGTCTGAGCTAATTAATTATTTCATGAAGGTAATAAATCCACATTGCTATTAATGAATAGACAGCTAATTAAAAAAAAAAGGAAAGGAAAAACTATCACTTTTCGTTATCTTCCCAGACAGAACACTTAAGGAAATAAGTATGAATTGAGAAAAATAAAACCATTACTGTGATTTCTCACGTTTCAAACTTTAGTTTTGAAAATTGAAAAGAAAGCTTTAGGGAAAAAAAAAAACCAGCATTCTGAAAAAGGGGAGATAGTGTGGTTCAAGGAACATTAAAAAAGGCTTTGCTATGGTACATTTCCATTTGCCAATTTAAAATGCATTATTTTGGAAGAAAGGATTATAAGATGGGAAAATAACCAATAAGGCTGCATGTTGTTACCTCCTGAAGGACCTGGCTGCA